AGAAAGGTGGGAAGAGATAGAGGAAGATACCTGGTGTCAATCTCTGCCCTCCACACATGAATGCAAGGGATAGTTTATTTACATATACACATACGGAGAATTAAAATAAAGAATGAATTCAAGAGCTGGGCATGGTAATAATACTTATAATAATACTTATATGGTAATAATACTTATAATCACAGCCTGAAAAGCAGAGATAGTAGAGTCATGAGTTCAAGGCCACCTTGTAGTGCACAGCAAGACCCTCTCTCAAACAAACAATATCAAGAAAACATTGCCATCCATACCAGCTGCAAAGCAATAAAACACTTGGGAATAAGTTTAAAGAGGTAAAAGATCTCTACCCCCAAATCCTATAAAACGTGGATGAAAAATGGGAAGACCCACAAAACAAAAACATCCTAGATTTGTGGAATGAGAGACTCAGTGTTTTTAAAATGTCCATTGCACTCAAAGGACTCTAGGGATTTATGTAATCCTCAGTCTACCAATGACATTTTCATAGACTCGAAGAAGGAGTTTTAAATTTTGTATGAGACTATAAAAATACTTAACAGTTTTGAGCAAAGCAAAAAACAAAAACAAACCCAAAAAACAAAAAACAAAAACACAGACAAAAAACCAAAGTAGAAGGAATTATACTATCTGAATACAAGATTATTACTAAGCTATGGTAATTAAAATAACATGGTTAGCAAGTGGTACATGGATGTGGTGGTACATGTCTTGAATCCCAAAACTCATGTGTCAGAGGCAGGAGGATCTCCGAGTTTGAGACCTTGCTAGTCTGCATGTAAGCTCCAGGCCAGCCAGAACTACACAGAGAGACCTTGTCTCAAAAACTGAACAGAAAACAAACAAACAAAAACCCTAACAAAACAAAAACACAATACCAGCACAAAGACATATACGGAACAGTGGACCACAATAGATATTGTATACCCATGAATCTGTATATATTTGTTTTAAGCAAAGGTTCTAAGAACACAGTGAAGGAAGGAAACCTTTCTAATAAATAGTGCTGAGAAAAATTGAATGGCTACTTGCAGAAGAATAAAATAATGCCTGTATCTCACCAGTAATGAAAACCAACTCAAAATACATTAAAGCCCTAACTGTCTGCACGTCAGAGTCAGTGTCCGTAACGTTGTGCCCATCCAGGTGGCTGTGCAAAGGGAGGGGTAGGAATGCTAGGCCCTCACACACGGCCGAGGAAAGAGCAGAGCCCTACTCTGCTATAGTGAAAAGAGATGAGAATATGTCCACAGTGAAGCTGCAGACGAAGGTCCACAGCAGGATGATTCACAGCTGCCCAAAGGTAGGAGCGGCGCAAGCATCCAGATGGACGAATGGACCCAGTATTCCACCGTGAAGAAGGAAGGAGGCTCTGACGTGCTGCAGTGTGAGGGGCTTCGAGGGCTTTACACTCAGGGGGAGAACCAGATGCAAAAGGTTGTAGTTTGGTAGGAAATCTCAGAAGCTGATAAGCCCAGAGATGGGATGTAAAAATGGTGGTGTATGCAGACCTGGGGTGACACATAGTTTATACTCTTAAAGAAACTTAATGTAATTGGAAACCATTAAAAAGAAACTTGAGGGAAAGTGTTTCAGGACATTGGGGGAAAATGTTTTGGACAAGATCTCCAAAGTACAGAAAACAAAAGTGAAAACAAATTGTATACAAAACTAAAAAGCCCTCCACAGCAAAGGAAACAGTACCTGAAGTGAAGAGACGGCCTGCAGAGTGGCGGGAGATGGGAGACGCCTGCAAAGCATGCGTCTGACAAGGGGTTTACTGTCCAGGATATATAAGGACACAAATAGTTCCTTAGTGGGCTGGCAAGATGACCCCACCGGTGAAGGGAGAGCAAGCCTGGCAACCCGAGTTTGATTCCTAGAAGCCACAGTGGGAGGACTCTCAAAAGTTGTCCTCTGACCCCCATAGCAGCACTGTAGCTTACACGCACCTTCGTGTGTGTGTGTGTGTGTGTACAAGATCCAGCCTCAAAAATAAATAACTTCTTAAAACTAAGTATCTGTCATCATATGTTAATCATATCTCCGCCGCTGTGACACAAACATACAGTAGATTAGTAAGGAAGAGACTTTCTTCCACCCACGGTCTGAGCAGCGTCAGCCCACAGTTCTTCAGCCCCCTTCCCTTCACATTTGTGGTGAGGCCGGCCTTCAATGGGGAGCATACAGGGGCATAGCTGCCTGCCTCATGGCAGGTGTAACCGGGGTTCTGATAACACCTTAAAGGCCACACACTCAGTGTCCCACTTCCTGGAGGCTCCACTGTCTCCCAGTAAAAGTATTACTAGTGTACCCAGTAACCCAGTAGGCTTGCTTCTGAGCCCAAGTTCTTGCTTGCATTAAGGGAAAATGTATTCATTTGCCGTTTTCCCCACAGCTGGGTTGAGAGCTGTTCTCACTCAGACTTCCCCTTTTCACATTGCATCATTAATTATACTTATATATGGACAATCATGTGATGTTTGTATAAAATATATACACAGTGTAATATTTAAATCAAGGTAAGCATATCTATAGCAAAATTCATTTTTTATAGTGGAAACATTCAGCGGTCTACACAGCAAGTTCCAGGACAGCCAGGGCTACATAAGAAGACCCTGTCTTGAGAAACAAAACAACAATAAAATCCCCCAAGAGTCAGGAAATATGCTAATATAGAGCCAGCTCTGAGTCCCAGTTACTGGAGCTGAAGATAAACCACCTCTTGGCTGGGCCAGAGCTCCTGGGTTCCATGTTTTGTTCTGCACCTTGGCATTCACTGCTCTTAGGAGGATCTGTTCTATATATGCGTGTGGGAGTAGTACAAGTGTTCACTCGTGTGGCCATACGTGGAGAGCGGAAGGTGACATCGGCATGTCCTCCTCCCTCACTTTCTAGATTCCTGCCTTATACTGGCTTTCTTGCAGAACCTGAATTTCATTGTCTAGGTCAGACTGGATGGCCAGGGAGCCCTCAGGGTCTGCCAGTCTCCACCTCCTAGTGCGGGAGTTACACACATGTGCTGAGCCAGGGGTATGTGGGTGCCAGGGACTTTAACTCAGATTCGCAGGCTTGTACAGCAAGTGCTTCACCAACTGAGCCACTCCCCAGCCTCAGCTGTCAATTTCATCCAGCAGACTTTTCACTTGTTATTATAGTTTTAATCACCAGAACCTCCATTTCTTCCTTATATCCTACACACACACACACACATACTCACACACACACATGCATGCACGCACACATACATGTGCACACACACACACACTCCAAATGCTGTTGCCTGTAGGCAAGGTTGGCCTTAAACTTGGCATCTCCTGCCTCAACCTCCTGATGTTCCTGATTGTCATTCCGTCAGAGTTGGCTCTGCATATGTGTTTTATATTCATGTTTCTTTTGCGTGTTTTTCAGAATTTATAATGTTATTCTGTATTCTTTAACACCTTTGTCTGATCCTGTCACCTTTCATTCTTTGTTTGCCTCTGTCAAAGGATTTCACACTTTCCTCCAGTGCAGTTTTAATCTATGCTAGACTTTGCAGTTTCACATGGATGAAGGCTATGCTTTGTTGGATTCCTTTAAAGAATGTTGGACTCTTTCCTAGCAGGTACATGAACTGTTTCTAACTATTCTGATTCTTTGGAGGCTGTCATAAGCTCTCTTCTGGAGGCACTTCAGTGGCTGTCCATTGTGCTAGCTCTGAGTCATCTTCATTTCTAAGGCATGGCCTTCTGGAGTCTCTAAAGAATACCCATGCAATTGCTGAGGTCTCTCCTCTCTTGCTGGATGGAATTGACTAAGTCACACCTCATGTGAGTTCTGCAACTTGTGAGATTCTGATAATTTTCCTTTTCTTGAAAGTTTTTTGCTTGAAATTTTTATTGCATTTATTTACTTGTGTGTTTATATATGTATGTGCATGGACACACACATGCCACAGCACATGTGTGGGGGTCAGAGGACAGCTAGTGGGAATCAGTTTTCTCCTTCCTCCAAGTAGGTTGTGGGGATTGAACTCAGACTGTCAGGCTGGACAGTAAATGCCTTTACCACCGAGCTGCGTCACCCACTCAAAAGTTGTTTTTGCTCAGCTTCATGGGCTTTTGTGTGTGTAGACTGACACTTAGTCATAGACTCTATGAATTGCTCAGGAGCTGCTTTGTTTGCCTTTGCATAGCTCCATCCTCCATGGGACTCTATCCAATAACCTGAAAGCTGATCTCTTTCTCCCCATTGCAGCCAGATAGCTCGGTCCCTTTGGGTTCTCCCTTCTTGTATAAATTCTACTACTCGCTACCGGAAGGTAGTTCGTGTAATGGTATAGATGAATTAACTCGATACCATTTTCCAGAGGTATAATACTGTAAACCCAACTGTTCTTTGACTAAATAGCTAATCCCCTTATTTTGTCCAGTTTTATAGTTAGGACAAATTAAATAGCCCTTATTACCTTGTGACCATTGTAGATATTTTCTCGGTAGTTATTTTAATGAGAAAGGAGGAAAGAGTCATAAAGTTGGGGCTTCCACAAAGCAGCTGGGAAGTAGAGGAATCAGGAATTGGTTTTATGATAATATCCAATGTAGAGTGTCTAGAGAAGCAGATGCCATCCTGGAAAAATGTCCAGAGAAACCCAGGAAGCCTACGTAGAGGCGTGTTTCATGGCTCGAAGGACCCTGCCTTACCCCCACTCCCTTATTCTGAGGCCATTACCATACCTTCTGCTTTCCTGGTATCAGGGATCTGAGTAAGGAAGCTGCTCGTTCAGCACCACCAATATGAACACATACACATGATGAAGTCATTGGGGTGGGGAAATGCTGATATCTGCATAGATGCTGGCACTTAGTCCTTTGCTGAGATCTGAGAGAGCATAGAAGGTCTTGAAAGGCTTGCAACCCTGAAGGACTTGGGGAACCATTCGTTCCTTGGTTTCTGGGTTTATCCTCTGTACCTCTACTCCTCTCCCCTTCCGTCTGCAGCTATGACGGGGTGCCTTTCCTCATGCACGACTATGACCTGAGTAGAACAACCAACATCAGAGAGGTCCTGCCCTCGGCCGCTTTCAACCACACTGCCATCTTCAACTGGACTTTCCTGTCCACTCTGAATGCCGGCCAGTGGTTTGTAAAGGTAGGACTTGTATCCTCTGGCTCTGGGACTTGTGTACAAGCCTCCCCTGCTCAGGTTCACCTGCTGCTCTGGAGCATCCACTTTCCCTGCTGGTCTAGGGGCAGGGCTCACATTCCCTGGGGATGCAGTGGGTCGGACCATGCTGTCTGTATTTACTAGAAAGGCTGATGATAAACTTGTAAACTCAGCCTTTACTGTTTAATCTACCCGGGCATTTCATAGTCTTTGATAGTGTGTTTGCAATGCACATAGCATTTCCCTGGCTATCTTGAATAACTCACAGTCTTCATGAAGCAGACTATGAAACATTTATTCCTCAATTCTCACTATTCAACAGATACGTGCTACGTATCTACTGGGTACAAGACACATGGAGTATAATGATGAATAACCCAAATGCATCATAAGAACTATACCAGAAGCCCAAAGGGAACAGTATTAGAATGGACCATACCATTCATTGTGATAAGTACCAACGAGAGTAAATTTCTTGTTATTTTGGAAGCATCTAAGATCAACTTCTGACTTAGTTTAAATAATGAGAATGGGAAATTTGGGAAGAAGACAGCCTAATTAAGGGAATAGCAAAATATAAAACATATATTAAGTATGATATAATTTTGAGGCACCTTTTTCTTGAGGAAGTTGGAGAATGCATTTTTACATCAAGGTACTCTTTATGCTACAAGGAGATTGTTACCAAGGGGAATCATGGATGATGGTGGTGTATCTCAGAGATACGTTACACTAAGCCAATGTGTGTCTACGGAGGCAGGAAGAAGGACTGAGGAAAGGGTAGAAAACAAGGGCAAGGAAGGGAATAGTTGGGAGAAGAGCCAATAAGGCCTGCAGGGGGAGATTTGGCAATGCTGAAATAGCAAATTAGCACGAATATGATCCCCTTGATGATTTCAGAGAGGTGTGAAAGGTCAAGGCTACCATCTCACAATGAAGAAAATAATTTCTATTTTCCAGCTTGTCTCATGCTGGGAAAAACTCATGAAGCCTACATTCTACTCAACCGGATGTAGACATCAAAGGCTTTGATTTTGAAAATAACCATCTCACCAGGGTAAACAGCAGATGCTCATTCTAAGGGCTCACTGAGCATGTTTCACGTGAAGAACAGTGAAGAATCATGTAAAGATGGACCTACCTTTACAGACTCCAGATTCATACTCCAGCTGCTATTAATATAAGATGTAGCTGGAAGGAGAGTTATAGCAGCCATGTCTCTCAGAATGTTCGTCCCTACAGGAGGCTGTAACTTGTGCTATTTCCTTATGTGAAAGCAATGAGATGACCAAGGTGTGGTGGAGCATACCATTAATCCCCATGCTTAGAAGTAACAGGTAAATCTTTGCAAGCCAGGGCTGCAGAGTGAGACCCTGTGTCAAATAATCATAATAGTAATGATAAAATTATCACAGGTTTCTACATATATGTAGGCTGTATGATGTGTCTCATGATCCATGAATATATGAGCACACAAAGCTATAAATGCTCCATTAGTGTGCATATTGGATTTGTTAGCCATAATTAATGTTTATCAATTATTTCTTACATCTCATTTCTTGTGTGTGTGTAGATCGGAGGACAGCTTGCAGGAGCTGGTTCCCTTACTCTACCGTGTAGGTCTCAGAAATCAAACTCAGGCCGTGAGGCCTACGGAAGGATGGTCTTTAGTTCTAGGTGCCTTTGCCACTTGAGCCACCTTGCTTGCCCAGTTATGTTTTAACGATACACTTTCTCCATGAGAAGGCTGTATATCAGATGTATACAGCAATGCTCCTGGAAGTCTTACTAGGACTTGTAGGATTAAACATAGTCCTAAAGATGAGCCAAAACTTCACCAAACTAAGATGTTTGATGGAACTGTAGGATTGATGAATTGAGTGAGTGGTATTTTAATTAATGGACATTTTTTTCTGGGTTGTTCTTATTGGAACTTTATGGTGCTCATTACCAAAAGATAACCATTAATATTTTCCATAGTTTGATACCACCTTGGGGCTGTGGCATGTAATAGTTAATGTTTCTGTTAAGTTGTCCATGGTTTGGGTTTTGAAAACCTTCCTTCAGTACTTTTCCTAGGGGTGGGACTGTGGATCGGCAGTGGAACACCTCCTGGGCTTGAGCTCAGTGCTACAAAAGAACAACAAAAGCCCAACCGTTTTCTGTTGTGAAATTCTGTGAGTAGCTCTAAATGTTCAGGTTGGTGTGTTGTTAGGATAAATTTTGGTGGGTATTTTTTAGAATCAGTAGCTTTATTTTAGCATGGTAGATGGTGTGTATGTAGAATTTAGTTTTACTATGACTATGGCTGCTGAGAATTCTGAAATCTAGAGTTCAGTTTGTTTTATTCGGTAACTTTAACTTCCACTGTGGTGGTTTCTTTGCTTTCTCCTGATGTGTCACCAGAAGGGAGCTGAGATGTTGTTATAAAGCACAATTAATAAAAACTCAGAGACGGAAATTAGGATTCAACCTGAAGGTCAGAAAAGCAAAGCAGCAAGCCACTGGCTCTTACCTTGACCTCAGCCCAAATATTGTGATCCTGCCTCCAGGAATCTCAGAATGAGACTGAGATTGAGAGCCATCTCCTCCCGTTTTGTAATCCTCTGTAGTTCTGGGATTAAGGGTGTGCACCACTACTGCCCGGTTTCTAGGACAAGCTAGTGTGGCTCCTGGGATTAAAGGTGTGTGTCACTGCTGCCTGGTCTGTTAGGCTGGCCAGTGCGGCTGTTTTACTTTTCTGACCTTCAGGCAAACTTTATTTATTAAAATACAAATGAAATACCACTACGATCTTATATGTGATTTAAAATATTTAAAAGAGTAATATTTTGTAGTAAATCATTTGGATGTTGTCTTAGTTAGGGTTTCTATTGCTGTGGAGAGACACCATGACCATGGCAACTCTTATAAAGGAAGACATTTAATTGGGGGCTGGCTTACAGTTTTGCGGTTTAGTCCATTATTATCTTGGTGGGAAGCATGGCAGCATGCAGGCAGACATGTGCTGTAGAGGGAGCCAAGAGTTTTACATCTGGGTCAGCATGTAGCAGACAGAGATCTATGGGACCGTTTATTTTCACTCAGATCTCCAGAGTGTGACGGTCATTCTGGTGATCTCTTGTTTGGTAGTAATGATTGTTAATTGGTGATGGCTTTGCATTATCACTGTTGTTACACTTAAGAGTCTTGTGAAACCAAATAGCTCTGTTTTTGCCAAATCTCTGTTACTGTAACAAAGACCTGCTTCTCTTAGCTCACAGGTTGAGCCTTTTGGCTCTGTTGCTTTGGCCACATCTTGGAAGGGAACATCTGGCAGAGAAAAGCCCTTCACCCAATGGCTGAGAAGTGAAATAGAGAAAGAGGGGACCTGGATTCCACCTGCTTCTCCAAGGGCACTCCCCGCAGTGACCTACATTTCCCATCAGGTCCCCCATTTCCAGATGTTGTCGCTCTCAGGACCCAGCCTCTGACACGTGGGTCACCAGAGCCTGGGTGGTGGTGGGAGACAGAGGCCAGCCCGGTTGCCAGAGTGACTTCCAGGACATTCAGGGCTCCACAGAGAAGCCCTGTCTTGATAAAGCAAAGCAAAACAAAAGATGTCATTAAATGCAGCTGAGTACCGTGGTTAGATTGTCTCTGTTCTTATGGATTTCCTACCTGTTTTACTGACTAAGGCATGATGAAGTCTTCAACTGTAATTGTGGTTTTTTTCTTTTCAGATCTCGTAGGTTTTACATGTGAATTTTGAAACTGTTGTTAAGAGCATACACTGCTAAGATTGTTATTTCTCCTTGGAGAATATTACCCTTTTTCATGACACATGGTAGGCAGAATAGTGACTGTCCAAAGGCATGAATGTCCTGATTCTTGGGGTTTATTAGTATGTTACCCAGCATGGTCTAAGGCCACTGCACCTGTGACTGAGGTTATGGACCTTTATGGGAAGAGATTGTACTGATTTTCCAGGTGACCCCTATCTGATCAGGCAAGTACTTAAAGAAGGTTTTCTTAGCTGTGACCAAAAAGATTTTGTCAATGGAGAACAGAGAGACAAAAGGTTTGATGTGTGACAGGGTCTCAACTGTCAACTACAAGATTTGAAGACAGAAGAGCCTCTGAACCAAGGAATTCAGGTGACCACTAAAAACAGACAAGGCTCTCAACTTACAGAAGTTCCCCAAATCACAGGGAGCTAAACTCTGCCAGTAATGTGATTGAACATGAATGTCCTCTAGATATTTTTTGAATTGTGTGAAGCTTGTTTGGCACCTTGGTGCAAGCCACATGAGACCCATAAAGAACTTCTGATCTCTAAAACAAACAGAAACAACAGGAAAAATGCTCTGTGTTCACTTAAGCCACTGAGTTTGTGGTAGTTTGCTCTAGTAGTAATGCAGACTGGACCATGGTCAGGTGTGGGAGGGCGTGCTCCAGGCCCAGCACACGGGAGATGGAGGAAAGAGGATCCCAAGTGTGCCACCAGCCTGAGCTACACAGGGAGCCCCAGTTGCTGGAGCAATGCTGTCTCAGGAGGAGACTGATTGTGATATGGCTCTCTGTATCCACAGCAGTGATAGCTGCACATAGACAGAAAACACCTCAACAAAATAAAAGCTCCTCAAATCTGTAAACACTGGGCCAACGTGGAAACTCCTTTTTTTCTTGAGATAGGGTCTCTATCTAGTCCTAGTTGTCCCAAACTCACAGAGGTCGCCTGCCTCTTCCTCCTGGGTGCTGGGCTTGAAGTTGTGTACCGCTGTGCCTTGCATGAACATGAACACTCTTTCAATGTAATTTACCACGGTAATAATCTAAAGGAAAACTATGTGATCACTTAAATGTATGTATCAAAGCATTCAACAAAATTCCATTTATGCTAAAATAAAACCTCATGTGTGTGTACACATATGACAGCCCGAGATTGCCATTGGATTATCTTCCCAAAGCCATCTCCACTTTATCTGAGACAAGGTTTCTAGTGAGAAACCTGGAAGTGGCCAGTGAGCCACAGGGAGCCCCCTGTCAGCGCCTCCAAAGCACTAGGATTAAAGGCGGGCATGTTGTGCCCGGCTTCTACAGAAGTCTGGGATCTGAACTCAGATCCTCAGCCTTGTGCAACAAGTCACCCCCGCCCCAGTTCCTGTGATGAAAACCTGCTAATGAAGTAGGGGTAGAAGATAAAGAACTTCAGAAAACCTTCAGTTAACTTCCCCATAGTGAGAAGATGAATGATGGCCTCCAAGTGGGAACAAAGTACACACCCCTCCCCACTCCCAGCAGCCTCACCCTGGGAATTCTGTGCAGTGCATTTGATAAATGAAGCAAGCTGTCTATTTACATACAACCCCATTCCCTGTGTCAGGGTTCAAAATAATACAGTTTAGAAAGTTCCCAGAACTAATCAGCTTACTAAGGCCATGGGATGTAAAAATCTATAGGCATCATTTGCATTGCTATAATCTTGTAATGAAGAATTGGGATTTCAAGTTAATGAAATACTAGCAGTATACTGGCACTAAAAAAATCCATTATTTGTGTGTAAATATAAAAAAGTCACATGTGCATGTGTTTGTTTGTGAATAAATACAAAAGAAAGAATCCAAAGGTGTAAATCAATGGAAGACACATTGTGTTCGTGAATCTAAAGACTCGGTATTGCTAAGGTGTTATTTCCGGTTTGACTGATAGCCTCAGTATACCCGGTTTCAAAAGCCAAGCAAACCTGTACCTGGCTTTTTCTTTTTGGCCACCAACCAGCTCCCAAATCATGACATGGAGACTTCTTTTTATGAATGCTCGGCCTGGCTTAGGTTCGTTTCCGGCTGGCTCCTCTAACTTAGATTAACCTGTTTCTCTTTATCTACCTTTTGCCTCCAGGCCTTTTCTTTCCTTCTGTATATCTTACTTTCATTGCTTCTGATGTCTGACTGGTTTCTTGCCCCAGATGTGTCCCTCTTTTTCTCCCTGGTTCTCTTCTCCTTCTTCCTTCTCTCCTCCTGTTTATTCTTTCTGCCCACCAGCCCCACCTATCTTTTCTCTGCCTAGCCATTGGCCATTCAGCTCTTTATTAAACTAATCAGATGCCTTAGGCAGGCCAGGTGAAACAAATGCAACACATCTTTTCATAATTAAAAACGCATCCTTACATTGTTAAACAAATGCACAAATGTAACACACCTTTACACAGTTAAAGTAACATTACACAGCATAAACAAATGTAACACATCTTTATCCTGTTAAAGCAATATTCCGCAACACAAACCTGTTGTTATTATTGACTTTTTAGCTGACAAAGAGCACGTATTAAAAAATGAGCTGGGGAGACAGCTCAGTCTGTACAGTTCTAGGGGTGCAAGCGTGGGGCCCTGAATTTGTACATCCAGCGTCGTGTAAAAAGCCAAGCGTGATGGCGAATGCCTGCAGTCCCAGTGCTGGGAGGCAGAGATGAGAGGATCCCTGAGGCTTGTTGGCCGGTCAGTCTAGCCCAGTCACCATACTCCAGGTTCCGTGAGAGATCCTGCCTCAGAAACCAAGGCGGAGAGAGATTGGAGGGAGGTGCCCAGCATCAGTCCACCTCTGGTCTCCGCATGCACACACACACACACACACACACACACACACACACACACACAGCTATACCTGCACACACGTCCACACAGCTAATACACTAAAAATAATAAGACTGAGTTGTGCATACTTATGATGTATAAGTTTTTGTTTGCTTGCTTGCTTGTTTTGCAGTGCTGAAGATCATGCTAGGGCCTTATGTATGCTAGACACGTCCTCTACCACTGAGCTATGTGCCCAGTCCCAACAGGCTGCTTTGAAGTATGTCTGCATATGTAATGGATAGATCAAACTAATTAATGTATGTCTTACTACACATCTTATATTGCGTGTGATGAGAATGCTTAAATTATGTTCTAGCATTATTATTTCAAGATTTAGTAAGTTTTTAAGTTATGGTCAGCACACAAAAGTTCTTGAAGTTATTACTTCTGTCTAGATGGAACTGTGTACGCTTTGACTAACATCTCCCCATCTCTCCACTGCCATCACCAGTTCCGTTGCAACCGCTACCTTATTTTCTGCCTTTATCAGTAAAGCCTTCTTAGATTCCATACATAAACAAAGCTAGCATATGTCACTCAGTACCAGGCTCATTTCACTTAGCACAATGTCCTGCAAGATGATACATGTTATCTCAGATGCCGTAATTTCTTTACCTGTTCAGACTAAATAGTGTTCCAGCCATTGATGAATGTCAGTTGATCTCATGTTTTTCTACCCCATATAATGTTCCTAATAACATGGGGATGTATATACCTTTACCTTTCTTGGGGATAGCCTATCATCCTTGGATGTTTGTTCTGATAGGCTTCAGTCTTTGGTGCCTTTTGGTTCTGGTGCCTCTTGGTTGTGGAAGTTTATCTCATTCAACCCTCAAGTTCATAGATTCTTTATCAGTATATCCAGTTTGCTAGAAAATCTATCAGATACATGCTTAACCTTCAAAGTAATCCTAAGGCCTGGTTGTGGAATCACAGAGCTAATATCCCAGCAGTTAGGAGACTAAGGCAGGAGTATTATATGTTTAAAGTCAGTCTAAACTACATAGCAAGATCTTGGCTCAAAAAAACAATCCTGAGGAACACATCAGTTACCACATCACTTTCCTTTCTTACAGATTGGGGTATTAAAAGTCAAGAATATTGAGCAAAGGTAGTATTGATTGTTAACTGGATAAAACCTACAATTACCTAAAATAAACTTCCTGGCCTGTCTATGAGGATCATCTAGATTAAGTTAGCTTTGGCATACCCGTGAGGGATTATCTAGATTTGATTAATTGGTTTGGAAATAACTACATTAACTGTGGGCAGCACCGTTCCACATGCTAGGGGATCCTGGACTGAATAAAAGTACTGGCATCCTTGCCCTCTGCTTCCTGACTGCAGACACAGTGTGGCCGGCTGCCTCAAGGTCCTGCTGCCGTGACTTTCCTGCGGTGATGGACTGTTTGCCCTCAAACTACGAGCCAAAGTAAACCCTTCCTCCTTCCCATGGCTTATTGCTAGATATTGTCTATAACAATGAGAAGAGTAATACAGAAAATTGGTACTGAAAAGTGGGGTCCGTTGCTGTGACTGGAACGAAGCTGGCTTGCAGGATTGTGGAGAATTTTGCTTTGGCCTAGAAAAGCCCTTGAACGCTGCAAACAGAGCTCAGTGAGTGATTCTGGTAGGACTTTGGGAGACAAGAATGAGAAGAGAAACACGGACAGTGGAAACCCAACTCCTGAGGTTTCAGGGAGAAATGAGGACTTTATCCAGAACTTGGCTAGAGCCCATTTATGTGCTGCACTGGCAAAGAACTGACGACGTAATGCCAGCATCCTGAAAACTCGAGCAAGGTTGAATGCAAAGATAATGAGCAGCAAGAAGCATACTGAGTAAGGATTTAAACTGTGGTCTAAGCTGTGTGTGAGTACATCAAGTCAGAACAAGACATACATTTATAGACACGCAATAAGGGGCTATCGGAACTTCCTGCTCTCAACATCCCCTTAGTTCAGGAATATTTTAGAAAAGCATCATGAAGGAGGAAGCATTTGGATGGGCAGAGAGCAAGATTTCAGCAGGTTGACATAGTAAACAAATGAGGGGTACAGATAGGATTAGATCCCATGAACCCTGAAACCAAAGCACATGTTGTTTCCGTTACACACAGCTGTGACAGCAAGAGCCTGTGTGGTAAGGTTAGGTATGATCGGAAGGGGTGGATACTGAGCATTGCGAGAGACTAGAAAGGAAAGCTAAGAACATGGAGAATATCGGTACATGTGTAAGAAGTCTAGAGTATCAAAGAAATCATTCCAAACACTACAATCGCCAATGGAGATGTCCTTCTATTTCCCTTACATCTCAGAGTTTGTGTGTCAGAGGGCGTAGTGGGTGAAGTGGTAGTGGAGCAATATGGGGCAGAACCATAGACCAGGAAACCTGGGCATGTTTTTGACCAAAGCCAATTTTTTTAAATACGTTTATCTTTAGCATAAGCCGTTTTTTGACATGAAACCATTATCAGAGGCTGATAAAAGAAGAGCAAGCAACCAATCAATTCCATCGCTGGCTGAGTTATTGGAACTTGCAAAAAATGAAAAAAAGTTTGTAATATTTGATCTTTTCGGCCCTCCACCAAAGCATCCTTTCAGAAACACATTTGTTCGAAGAGTAGTCAAGGTCATCCTTGACTCCAACATCGAGCAACGTCTGGTACGTCTTTCTCCCCATTCATGGTCGGGCTTGGGAGGTGGGCAGCCTGTCTAGGAGCATAGCAGTTGAATTCAACCTATTATGCAATTCTTCTCTGGGATCTGCAAGGGATTTTGTGTCCTTTGGAAATAGAGATAATTATCTGTACAGCTACAGGTGTCAATTTGAGAATGATCCAGTTAAAATTATCCCAGTGGGGGAAAACATTGAGACTGTTTGCTATTCTGAACCAAACAGAGGAGTAGTCCATTGTTAAGGAATGGTGCAGGAGTTGAGGAGATGGCTCAGTGCATGGCACACTTGGCACACAAGCCTGAAGGCGGAAGTTCGGATCTTCAGGACCCAGGTAAAAGCTGTCCAGTCGTGGCGGCCACCGGTAGTTCCAGCCCTCAGGAGGCAGAGACAGGGCAGGGCAAACTTGTTATCTAGACCAGCTGGAACTGGTGAGCGCCAGGTTCAGTAAGAGATCCTGTCTCAAAATAGTAAGTGGAAAACAGTGGGAGAAGATACCTAGTGTCAACTTTTAGCCTCTGTATGTATGCACACATACATGCATTGCACACGTGGACATCCACATACTTGTGAACATTCGTACATGCATGCTACACATGCCTACATGTGCAGGAAAAAAAAGAATAATGTGTATAAAGCAGTCCCAGCCATACATCACTGTAATTACAGCTGCTCAGGATGCTGAGGCAGGAGGACTGCAAGTTTAAAGCTTGCATGGACTAGAGAATAAATTCAAAACCACCATACAACTTAGCAAGACCTTGCCTCAAAATTAAAAATTTAAAAAGAGGGCTGGGACTGTAACTTACTGGCAGAGCCCTTGCCTAGCGTGCTCGAGACCTTGTGCTCAGTCCCTCGCACCACACAAAAAATAATAGTGTATATAGTAATTCTGATGTGACTGCCCCGTGGTCATGTCAGACCTAGGAGGCTTCATGACAATACAATGCTGAGGACTTTAGCTTTAAAGAATGGTCTAGAAAGACCAGTGGTTCTTAGTTAAGTAGAGATTTGCTCCTTGTTTGTTTTTTTCTTTTAGAATCAATCTCTTTATTTGCAAAGTTGTTTTTTTTATCCCTTAACTTCTCAGAATACTGCAGTGCTCTGAGTTAAACAACCATGTGTCTCTGCAAATGGGGCCCTTCCCTCAGATGAGCCCTGGTCCCAGGAAACACCTAAGGAGTTCCTCTCGAGGATGGCTTTGTGATCAGCAAATGGGGAGGGCTCTTCAATGTTCATCTCCACCAACATTTTTTTCTCTGTAAAGGATCTGATCCATGGTCTCACACATGCTATGAAGGCGCCCTACCACTGAGCTACTTTCCTAGCTCTCCATGTTTTTGTATGAATCTTTCTGTATGCTTGGGGCCTTGACCTTAACTGCAGGATGGGAAGTCCTGGAAAACTCAATTCCACAGAAGCCTTCCCCATTTTTAAGAGTTCATTGGATGATATAACTAATTCGATTGCTTTACCAAGGGCTAGAATCCTTCTCTGCTTCCTGTAGACTGCTCCCCGTGCTGGAATGGAGATTCGCCCATTCTCCCTGGGCTGTTTGTGCCGGGACAGTTGACTGGCTGTTTCTCCTTGCAGATACTTTGGTTGCCAGGTTATGACAGAGACTATGTCAGGTTCAAGGCTCCTGGTTTCCAGCACGTGGGCCGTTTAAGAACCCTCAATGAGCTTGCTAAAGAGAATATGACGATAATAAATGTTGACTATAAGAGGCTGTTCTACAAGGGGATGAGGTAAGTGTTTGATTGCCCCTCCTGGCGTCCATGTTGCTCTAACATTTACAAAATATCGCTTCTACACAAGTTGCTTGTAATAGTAATAGTAGATGTTTTTTTCTATTTCGACTCTTTAGGGGGGCCCACCACCCAGCTCCCAAATGAATCACCCAGAGGCTTGCTTATTCTTACTTACAAGTGTCCAGCCTTAGCTTGGCTGGCTGCTTGCCAGCTTTTACTTAACTTCACTTATCCCATCTACCCTTTGCCTCTGGGATTTTCCTGTTCTCTTACTTCTGCAAATCTTACTCTTACTCTGTGGATTTCTGTGTAGCTGGATGGCTGGCCCCTGATATCCTCCTCCTTCTTGGGCTGCTTCTTTCTCCTCCCAGATTTCTCCTACTATATATTCTCTCTGCCTGCCAGCCATGTCTATCCTTTCTCCTGCCTTACCACTGGCCGTTCAGATCTTCATTAGACCCTCTGCTGTTCTAGACAGGCAAAGTATCAGAGCTTCACAGAGTTAAACCAATGCAACCACATTAACATAATCTTCCAAACAGTTACTTAAAGTCCTCTTTTTGCTGTAAGATTCCTTTCTTTGGTTATCTTCTTTGAATCCTCTGCTCTCTCATCGTTGCTTCTCCCTCCCTTCTTTTGCCAACAAACATTTACCACACAGTCCTTTGTATTCTCATTTCTCAGCACTTAATACATATTTTAAAGATCTGTTTTATTTTATGTGTGTGTGTCCCTGTGTATATGTATGTGTATCACATATGTGTAGTACCCATGGAGGCCAGAAGAGGGCATAAGATCCTCTCAAACTGGGGTTGCAGGTGTTGTGATCTTCCATGTGGGTACTGGGATTTGAACCAGGATCCTGTGGAAGAGCAGGCCATGCTCTTATCAGCTGAGCCATTTTTTCAGCCTCTCCACATGTATTCTTATACATTTCACTCTTCCCTTTGGTAAGGTTGACTAAGATTTAAGTGAGATCATACAATATCTGTCTTTCTACCCCTGGCTTATTTTATGCAATATAGTGTTTCCAGGTTCATCTATATTGGGGCAGATAAAAGAATTTCTTTTTTCAAAAGTTGAGTAATATTCCATTGTAGGTCAGCACTTTATTAATCCATTCATCTGTTGGTGGCCACGTCCCTTATTGTGGACACTGTGAATAATGCTGCAGTGGAGACGGGAATGTCAGCACAAGGCTCCTGTGCTCCTGTCCTCCAACAGCCACCTCTGTCCTTCCACCCTTCCCTCCCTCCCTAAAGTGCTAACCCAGCAAACTGCCTGTAGTGCTGTCCTTTCAGGAATGAACAAACTCATGTTAAGTGTGACCGTGGGGCTGCTTTCGTTTGTCACCAATCATAATTCTCTTGTGTTTCATTATCCATAATTTGATTTTTGTTGTTGTTGCTGAATAGTGTTCATGGTGTGTGTGCCTAAGCTTGTGTAGTCAGTTACTACCAGAAGACACCTGGTTATCTCCGCCTGTTTGCATTTGGGTTTTTATACAAATAGAAGTCTTTATTTCTCAGGGATAACTACCCAAGATTTCAAATTCTGGGGTCTAATGATTGAATGTTGTATAGGAAGCAGCCAGACTTTTGCAGGAAGACTGTGCCATTTTACATCTCTGCTAACAACACGACCCAGAGTGTCTGCATCCTTTTTTAAATCTTATCCACTCTGACAGGCATGTAGGCAAATGAGTCTGTCTAAAAGTACATTCTCTGAAGGCTAATGATGCTGCGTTTATTTGCTGATGGGTCTCTTCGTTTAAATTCTTGCTCTTTATTATTGAATCTTGAGGAGTCTTTCGCCCTTCGTTGCATAGGGTTTGAGAGCATTTTCCTGGGACTGAGAGAGGCCTGTGGGTGAGAGCGTGTGTGCACTGAGACCTGTGGGTGAGAGCGTGTGTGCACTGCTGTTCTTCCAGGAGGCCTAGGGCTTCCGGCGCCTATGCTGGGGGCTTAGAACCACCCCGAAGTGGAGCTCCAGAGATTTGCACTTTTTCCAGGACTCCGTGAGCCCCTGCACACAAATATCAGGCACACACATACACAAATAATTAGGTAAAAATAAGTCTTTATAAAAGGGAACACATTCTCCTAGTCTGTGACTTATTTGTGGCATCTTCTAAACAGGGCACAAGGTCTCCACAGGACAAGAGCAGTGTTTCTATTTTGACAAGACTGGCTTCTGAGTTTTCCCATTGAGGAAGTGAGCATTTAGCTCTGTTCCCACTCTTTGCTCAGCTTGAGCCCTGACTGAATTCTTTTCTTCTATGCTTTCCGTAAGGTTTATATTTTTACATTATATACACAAGCTTGCGGATCATCCTGAGTTAATTTTTATACATAGTCTGAGGTTTGGTTGAGAATTTAATGTCCTTTGGGGCACTGGCTGGAAATCCACTCTTCCACTCACTGTCTGACAGCTTTGGCACAGGTTATTTGAGCAAATTTGCATAGGTCTGTTTCTGGGTTTCTTTTGAGGACACTGACTTATGTATCTGTTCTTACTCTGGCACCATGCCGTCTTGACTGCATGTTATATGTAGCTTCGTTACCGGATGAAGCGTGTCCTTTTCCGTACTCTTTTCCAGACTGAAGTGTGTCTTCTTTAGCATATGGGAGATGGAGAACTGGCAGGGCCCACCTGGACTACATAGTGAGTTCGAGACCATCCTATACCGCCCAAAAGACTTAACTTTCCTAGAGTTGCATCTTTGCATACTCATTAGGATCAGCTGACCTAATGGCACAGACAGACCTTTGCTGGCCTGCTCCAGGACTCAGGCTGACGTTACAGACGAGGTGGGAACTGCCGGCGGCTTTGCTCCAGTGAGCCGTCACCTGCATCACCTGTGTCACCTGCGTGTGTGTCGCCCTATGCCTCGTCTTCCTCACTTCCATTCGCGTTTCCTGGCTGTCAGGATTACATTCATCCCAGAATAGCTCGTTTTCTTTGAAGTAATTGTTAAGGGTGTTATGTTTTAAACTATGGCTTCTACATCCCTTGTTCCTATTTAGAAACACTGAGTTTTGAGTCGCAGTCTCAAATACAGAGACGTTCTAGGCGGCCTGTGGAACTTTCTCAGAGGCAGTTCTCGTCCGTGTGCAGGAAGCTGGCCTCACCTCCTGCCGGAAGACATGGCTGCTGTCTTAGGTCTCTGTCCCAAAGCACAGAGCTTGCCACGCTAGTGTCTGGCAGACTTGTCCTTTCCAATGTGACTTCTGGGTAAGGGCTTAGGGACTTGGGGATGTTCTTACACCAGGGAAGGCGCTCTGTGTTTTCTGAGAACTCGAATCCTAAGGAGACAGCTAGCCTTACTTTGCTAATCTGTCCTTCCCGTACTCTGTTTCTTCTCCGTGGGTCAGGCAGCAGGACCATCTGTGGCTCGGCTGTAGTGTGGTATTTGCAGATTTGTAACGCTGAGAAGGGTTTGCTGTTTTCTTTGTTTTTTTACCGCCTCCCCCCCAGGATGTTTTGTTCACCAGCGCCCTGCTCTGCTACAGCCTGTGCTACACGAGCAGAAGGCCAACCCACCCCTGAGCCCATTCTGCCACAGTAAATCCTAGGCTGTCCTTGGACCAGCTGTTGTCGGGTGATTTTTCACAAGCATGGTCGTTCCCCTTTGGTTATTGAGAGAACAACTGAGCTGAAATCTTTTGTGGAATGTTTTTGTTCCAGACAGTATCAGGCAGCTAAAATCCACATCAATATGTACGTTGTCAACGAGCCTTGGCTCTTCTCATTGGCCTGGTGCCGCCGGATCAACTCTGTGACCACAGACAACATCCAGGTCCTGAACCAGCTCACTCACCCTCTCTTCTTCATGGTGAGCTGCGTGTCTGGATCCCTCTAAATCTGGTGTGATTGTGGTGTGATTCCCTACCCCTTGTAGCCTTGTGGGCAGTTCCCTGTTGAGCTATTTCGGAATACAGATGTCTCTGAAGGACGGAGATGTGCCTTCTCCCTTCTTCACCCAAAGTCTCCTGGGTTCTTTGTTTATTGAATCTTCACAGTGCACGTTGCATACAACTTAAGCTCTTGAATTTAACACTGTTATTATTAGATCCCTGAGAGCACTGACGTGAGAGTCCCGGTGAGGTCTGACTCTTTGTTAGTGTAGGCTTGAGCATGTGCGAGTACTTCCACACACACACACACACACACACTCACACTCACACTCACACACATACACACGCGTGCATGTGGAAGCAGCAACAGGGGAGTATTATGAGAAGGCAGGATCCCTTTGACTACACACACACATGCACACACAATCACACACACGTACACACATGGACACACACGCACGACAGCAACAGTCACAGGGAGTATCATGAGAAGAAGGCCGGATCCCTTTGACTAAAAGTGAAATCTGTTTCTCAAATACGTTAAATAGGTAAACCAGCATCCAGCCGCCCTATCCTGGCACCCTGGTTTGCAGCCACAGCTGAATCCAACCACTTAGTGCCTGTGTGGGGCTGTGGCTAGCCCATTACTGCCACAGAGCCTGGGTTTCTTGTCTACATAGAGTCATTTGACTGCATGGGACACAGCAGCATGTAACAGAAAACAGGCTGTTGGAAGGGAGTCTCTGTGCCACTCAAGCCATTCTCCTGCCTCAGTTTCCCCAGTAGCTGGGACTATGGAGACACTCTACCCTTGCCCACTGGAAAGCAGTCTAGGATCTGGAGAGATGGTTCAGCGTTAAGAGTGCTTGCTGCTCTTCTAAAGGAACTGAGTTTAGTTCCCAGCACCAATGTCAGGCAGTATACAACTGCCCTGAAGTAGTTCCAGGTGATGCAATGTCCCCTCTGGATTCTGCAGGTTCCTGTATGTACACACGTGCATGTGTAGGAATAAAATAAATCTTTTTTAAAAGAAAAGTTTAATTTTGCTGCTTTGAAAGTTAAGCATTAGGTTTAAGGAAGACTAAAAAGCACCAGCTTCTGTAGCATCAGGTAACACTGTACGGGAGCAATGAGGAGAGGAAACACCAAACCAGGGAGTAGAAAATCCGCGCGAATCAGTGCGGGGGCAAAGAGCAGGGCTTGGCCGAGTCTGGAGAGGCAGGTGTGTGCGTCAGAGGGAATTACATATAATCCAGCATTCTGTGAAGGATGCTGAGGCAGAGCAGCGGGGCCCAGATGCTGGCTCCTAGACTCGTTGCTTCCCTATCACTGGGGGTGCAGAACCTGGTGCTTCTGATCCCTTAGGTCTGTTGGTAGCTTTAGAAAACTGCATTACTGAAGGCTTCCCAAGCAATATGGATGTGAGCTAGATTCTGGAGACCATGTTACAGAAACAGAACCCAGGATGTCAGATAACACGGACCGGAGTCCTGGGTCCAGAACAGACTTGGTGTGTGACTTCTCTAGACATCTGCCCTGAGAGTCCAGGAAGATGAAGGGCGTGGCACGTCTTAGTCCTTGCAGATCCCCTGCATGTGTGCGGGTGACTGTTGGAATAGCTGGAGGTCGTCTCCTCTGTCCCCACTTCCTCTAGACCTCAACCCGAGCAGATGAGCAAGGGACTTAAATCCTTCCAACCATCAAGTTCTTGAGCTTGGTTTTGTCCATGTTTTGCAGACACCAGGATACTATACGTTCATATGGCTTTTCATGGTCATTGCTTCTGCAATTATCATTGGCACTGTATTTTATTATCACTGGTAAGTATATTTTTTATAATTCTTTTTTAAAAAATATTTATTTATTTATTCATTTAATAATTATGTATACAATACTCTGTCTGCGTGTATGCCCGCAGGCCAGAAGAGGACACCAGACCCCATTATGAGATGGTTGTGAGCCACCATGTGGTTGCTGGGAACTGAACTCAGGACCCCTGAAAGAACAAACAGGCAATACTCCCAACCTCTGAGCCATCTCTCCAGCCCCCTATTTTTTATAATTCTAAATGAGAAATCCCTCTAAATAAAAGTAAGAAATGGGTTCTACAGAAAACTGAGAAAATGGTAATTTTCTTCTGACACCCTCCATGGCAAGGAGGGTTTATAATCTGAGCCTCTCATTTCACCCTGCCTGTGACTCCCTCCCTCCCTCACTGGATCTCAGTCAGCATTCACTGTGAATTCAGTGTGATCTGTTGAGAAAGAGCAGGGATTGAAACTGTCCAGAACAAGGGCCTCCACCCCACGGTAGGAACTCACAGAGAAGGGCACACCGACCAGGAGCACTTTACATCTTAGTTGTGGGAGGACCTTGAGAAAAAAATGCTTTTTCTTTCTGGATCATTCTCCTTTTATGTCTGCCCTGAAAATGACATTTAAGAATTCTTGCAGGACAAATGATACAGGGTTTGGTTTAGTTTGTTTTTAATATTTTACTGTTTGTGTGTGGGAGGGGAGGTTGTTTGGGGTGCGTGTGTGCCTCATACCCACAGAAGCCAGAAGATGGCGTCAGGTTCCCTGGAACTGTCGTTACTTATGGGTTGCAAGCCACCAGGTAGGCACTAATAATCAAACTAGGTCCTCCGGAAAAGCAGCCGGTGCTAAGAGCTGAGCACGGAGTCACCTCTGCAGCCCAGAGTTGTGGTTTTAAGATGGGAGAGAGAACTAACAGCCCTGAAGAAGGATGTAAGTTAGGGTAGACCATGGCTCCTTAGATCCATCATTCTGATTGGCAGCTCACCTTTTAAAGGGGAAAAAACACAGGCACTCGCTCAAGAGCCAGTCTGGATGGGTAAAGTGTCTCTTCTGGGCACTGCCTCGATGATGCTCTCTGAAAGAGGCCTGTGAGCTGATGCGTGGTCTGCTTCCTTCTAGCATGAAAGAGCTTAAGAAAGAGAGGTGGCTCGAAGACGCTACCAGTGCATCTGCAGGTAAAGTCTCCCCAGCAAGACAGGTCATGCTCTTCATCTCTGCCCTGATGAGAGCTGGGGTGGGGCACTGAGGGTTGGGGACCAGGGAGAAGCAGGGGAATGTAGTCAGGCCCCTTGTCCTTGAGTTCCCGTCTGCAGACTCAACCAAGCACCCGTGGGAACAAAGTGATGTCATTGCCGGTGTGAATGATGTAAGGTGTGCCGGTTACTGATGTAGTCAGGCTGTAGGGTGTTCTGGTTACTGATGTAGTCAGGCTGTAGGGTGTTCTGGTTACTGATGTAGTCAGGCTGTAGGGTGT